GGGCCAAAAAATTTCTGTTGTAACTAAAATTCGACCCTTCCTTTAACAAATAGATTGTGATGGTCTTGAATGGTCAAGAGGTTAGTCCTATAATTTATGAATATCTCGGTTATTGCCCTGATCTATTAAATTTATTAGTGATTAATAATGTTTTCAATATCAATCATATTGTTAATGTGTTATCTTAATATTTTCTAATTTTATTACGTATAATAATTCTTTCATCTAATTAAAGAGTTTTAAAATTCAAAATAACGAGAAAAAAGTCAAATAGAATTGTCAAACAAAATAAATGAAAACATCAAATGAAATTGGTAGATTCAATGGCTAGGGAAAATTGGTGAGTGATCAAAAAAGTAGCCATCTTCAATGTTGTTAAAATCATCAGTGTAGTCAAGCCTGCAAGAACAAGATAAATAATGAGTCGAATATTCAATAATTTTGTTTAGTAAATTTACAAGATGATAACGGTGAACAATGCTTACATAAAATGAGAATTTTTGACTTCAGGAATTGGAGGATCGAACAATATTTCAGAGAATTCTCGACCAGAACAAACACATATTTCATCTGTACAATATAGAAAATTATATTAGGTACAATTGATATGAATATAAATTGATATATGGTTGGTCGATAGAATGAGAAATAACCTCCATATCGACACATCTCCCAAAATCTCAATACACAGAAAACGATTTTGCGACGAGGAGTATTTTTCCATAAGGACTCAAAATGTTCAGCATCTCTTCCTCACGCTATGCAATTGATGTCGACACCCCTAAAAAACAGAATTAATATATCATTTTCTTTAACATCGAGAATATGATAGTAAAGATTTATATATGTATTAGTCTTTGTATCAATGGATTCTTACTCAAAATCTCTTATTGTAAATTTTAGAACACTTGAGTTGATTCTCTGATTTTCGATCCAAAATTGGTCTTGACGTTCCAATTGACAAACTTTGATAATACCTCCGATCAAATCAACTAGCATAAAGCAATATATTCGTATAATTAAGTAGAGTATTAATTAATCTAATTGAGTATAATTAAATACTAAGAAAACATACCAACGTCTATGTTTTCCATCAGAGATTCGTCAAGGACATTTCTAAAATTAGCAAATGAATACAACTGGTCATCTGATTTAGGCGATGTCTTCTCAACATGAGTATCCTCATCGATACAGATATGGAGACCATTGACTGTAATCCTCGAAGTTCCTATGTGTGGAGTAATTTTGAAGTTACCAATGAAATACCAATCTTTATCACACATCATGCCTTCATAATGGTCTACTAAACGATTCGGAATCGATGCACGTATTCGATCACCCTAGATTTTCAGTTAAAAAATAATGATGGTATTGATAATATATCAAGATTCAGACTGTAATATATTAAGATTCAGACAGTATGTTATTTTTGAAGTTATACTTACATGTTCGTCTGCGAATATAAACGATCGCTGAATACAGTGAACACCTAGGCTTTCCTCGACACTCTTGATAACTTGAACACAGATAGAAGATCGATCAGATGCTATACCTAAATCAGAAATCATCGTGTAAGGAGACATTTTTTTCAAAGATAGATGCAGTTATTCTTAACAATGAATAAAATCTGATTATGAGTAACAAATGGGTACTACTTTAAATTGAAAATCACCGTTACGACAACCAATAGTAGTATTTGCACTGTTTTGAAAAATAACGGTCATATTTACCACCGCTAATTTAGTTGACTATATATGTCATGTTTTGTTATAATTATAATATAATAATTATAAAAATCAAAAATAGAAAGAACCTCATCAGAATCATTACTAGGTGATAAAATGACATATAATTGTGATGATTATTAATATTTATTTTATTGTGATAATAATTGTGATACTAGCTTTTTTAGAGGCTTAGACATAGAAATTTTTTTTTTAAAGGAATATTTATAAGATATTATTTTGTTTATTATATAAAGTACAAATTTTTCTATATTTGGTTATTATTAATGGTATAGTTTCATTTTATTATTGTAAATAAGTGTTGTTCATCTTAAAAAATAATATATACCGAAAGTTTGGCAAAAAATATTATACAATTTAACTATTATTAATAAACTCAAATATAAAAATATTACACGATTTCTTAAATATATAAACCCGTGTTTGGCGAGAATTGAAAATAAAAATGTGATGTTTCAATAATCAAATTATAATAAGGTTTATATAATGATTGTGTCCGCGCAACGCGGGCAGATACCTAGTATCAGTTATTTCGGGAAAAGTACATTTACTCCGATGTACTACGATGATGAACTCGGTCGTTATGTAGAAGAAGCCTAATTAATCTGCCTTTGGTTTATGTTCTGAAGAATAAAGTAGCTTCATATTGATTCATCTGTCTTTACAGTCTCTTGACTTGTTCTAAGTAGAATAAGTCTTGCTTCCGATTCTTTAGGAAACAAGTACAGTTTATTTAAGAGACCAGTTTGTTCTGTTTTCAGTATTTATCAATAGATTTGGCTTATGTTATGTAAATGATTACTCTATTTTGATTTATAACTACTAGACTTGTACCCATACGCGTGGGTTTTGTTTTACATAATATTTAAAAAAATATATTTGTGTTAATATATATATATATATATAATTATAAGAATATGGTAATTTGTTTGATCGATTGTTTAGTATTAGATTTTTTAAAAATAAAATCTTTAACAAATAACTTTTTTTTAAAGGATTGGAAGTAGGATAAGTAGGAAAGTTATTCTACTATTCTAGAAATCATAAACATAAATATGATATGAGTAAAAAAACGTAGATAAAAGCCATATTTTTTTGGGTTGAATTGCTTGAAAACATATAATTACCTCTGAATTTTAATGTTCTCATATTTATGACAAGTACAATTGCCATGATTTTGCAAGAACCACTCCATACTTCATGTTTCACAATAAAATGCAGCTATAATAATATGATATATGAGTCCAGAGCCGTGCCTTCAGTTAAATGAAAAAGGCAATCGCCTAAGGCCACATCTTATATATCAAGTTCAGAGGTCACATTTAACAAGTGAATTATAGTTTCCTTGGCTGGCTAATTTGTCTGGTGTATATTTTTATTTTGTTCAAGTTGGATCCTCAGCCGCATAAAAGAATAACCTTTTTTCACCAAATTTTTTAAAAATATTACTGTACATTTGATTATTGATTTTTTATATAATTTTATTAAAAGGGCTACATTTTAATTTTAGCCTAAGGCCTCAAAAATCCTAGGCACGGCACTATATATGACCTATAAAAACTGCCAAATTTTTGAATGTAGAGAACGCCACATCTTTACATTATTTTATACAACAAGCTTCGAAAAAAATGTTCATGATGAGGATAAGCCGGAAGAAAAAGTATCAAGTTAGTACAAAAAATATTAAAATTTTTTAAAAGAATACTAAAAATTATAAATGTTATTTATTTATTTTTGTTAGGAATGTGGAAAACCTTAATTTTAATGTAACTTAATAGTTATGAACATAAATACATATGAAATAAACATTAAATAGAAAAGTTAAGTTAGAATTAGTGGTATTAATTAGTTTTTAACTTTTTATTTTAAAATTTATGATTAATTAATTGAATGAAAGGACATGTGTCCTCCATTCAGATGCTGATGTGACAGGAGGATGGAGAGAGTTCACCTAAAATCATATAGGATTAACCTAATTTCATATCTTTGCTTGAAGAACACATTTCTTGTATACTAACTATTGCAAAAGTAAACAACCATTTTATGTTTTTCTTCCTTATTCTTATTGAAAGATATTTATTTATAACAAAATAAGACATATATATGGAAATTACATAATCTCTAAACCGATACAAATCATTAAACATTTTGACAACTTTCTAAAGTTTCGATTGATAATATCTTTATATTAATATAGAAAATATTAATGTTTGATTACTGTTCAAAGAGAAAACATTTTTGTAGTTAATTAATTAAAGCTTGGAGACGATCCATTTCCGTTGTTTTGGATATGACAGCTTCTACATTTATACGGTTTCCACCTCCCAAAAGTCAATTCATAGAAGAAATCAGAATAAACTGAACAAGTGTGTGTTTTAGCAAAAAAGTGTGTTTAGCACTAATGATAAGAACTTTCAAACTTTGAATAAACACTGTGTACCGTTCTCATTTGTTTGAAATGAAACTATGTGACGTTTCCGGCTTACAGAAGAGCCGTGTTCGTTACTATGGATATGAGGGCTTCTTCCATCTTCCAAACAAAATATATTTTATATGTTGCGTGTGTTGTAGCACCAACTAAAGCTATCTGCCTATACATAAAAGCTTTCTCTTAGATTCAAGTAAAGAATTTTCGGAATCGTCTAGCAACAGGTGATCGTATCGCAAGCTGGAATATTGGAGGGAATTCCAGTTGTGTACTATGTGGTGATCCAGCGGAGACAAGAAACCACCTATTTTTTGCTTGCCCTTACTCGCAGGAAATATGGAGTTCGATGGTGAAGGGGTTACTTGGCAATGAATATGTTTCGACATGGGAGGCAGTGGTGGGTCTCATTATCAAACCTCCGGGGAACAAAACACGAGCTTATCTCTTACGGTACGCTTTTCAAGCATCGATCTATTCAATTTGGAGGGAACGCAATGGTAGGAAACACGGAGAAAAACACTCACCGGCGAGACGTATTTCAAAACTGATGGACAAGAATATCAGTTGTTATTATTTCAAAAAACACTCACAGGAGTTGCAGCGACTCAAGATATGAAGATGGGCTTATTATTTGGTTTGATACGAGAAGATAATAGTTTAAAAGGAGCGATGTAATTTCAAAAAACAGATTGGCAAAGTTGTAGAACCAGTCTTTTTTTCTTTGAATATAATTTAACATTTATTCAAAAAAAAAAAAAAAAAGTAAAGAATTTTCTGTTACAGTTTCCATCTTTCAAACTTGATTTCGAAGAGGAAAAGAATCAGAGATGGAACCTATCACCGTTTCAAGGCTCAGATTTGACGTGTTTCTAAGTTTCCGAGGCCAAGACACTGGCCAAAACACCACAAGGCGTCTCTATGAGACGCTCAACAACAAGGAAAACGTCCGGGTTTTCTGCGGTAACGACGGTATGAAACGTGGGGACGAGATCAGTACAAGTCTTGAGGCAGCAATGGAGGACTCGGCGACCTCTGTCATCGTCTTATCCCGGAACTACGCTAACTCTCACTGGGGCCTAGATGAACTAGCTATGCTCTGCGATCTGAGAGCATCTCTGAATCGTCCGATCATACCCATCTTTTATATGGTCGATCCACGGCATTTTAGAACACAGAATGGTACTTTCGAGGTGGATTTTGAAGAGCACTCGAAAAGTTTTAGCGAAGAGAAGATACAGAAATGGAGGAGAGCCATGAATCTAGTTGGAAATATCTCTGGATTTGTTTACAGGTATGACTACAATATGGCAATATCTTTATAATCTCTAGTCTCATATTCAGATACTTTGATACAAACATCTCATCTAAATTTTTTTGAAGCATTCATTTCATGCGGCTAGTTGTTCTCTGATTATCTTCGATAAGACATGGTCTCCAACACTAGAAATATTTATTGATCTACATTTTTCTCTTTTTTATTCCAAGCTTGAATCTTTCTGTTGTTTTTTTCTGAGATCTTCAAGTTTTTTGAGAATGGTTCCTCGTTTCATTTCCTATGACTCATCTTCCTTGTCTCTCTTGCTTCTCAAGCAACATGCTCTGTTTCTTTTCAAGTAAGAACTAGAGCATTTACAAAAAGTCTAGAACCCTCTCCTTGAACCTGTGACTTTCACTCACATGTTCTTATGTCTTCAAAACAGTGAAACACTCTCATTCTTGAAGAGTCTTTGAAAACCTCCATCTCTCTTACTTATCTGTTAACTCCGACAGTAACCCAATTTTCTTCAAACCATAAATTTCAAATTTCAATGGACAATGGATACTTAAATCAATAATTAAGCTTACGGTAAATTAAAAAAACGAGTCAAGTGATTTTAACACTGGGTGATAAGGCTGGAATTATTATCCGGTATCCGGTCCTATCCGATCCGTAAAAACCGAATATCCGTGAAGTTCGGATCCGGATCCGAATAGTGAAATTAAGTATTCTTTTATTTCGGATACGGATCCGGATAATAGAAAATTTTGAAACCGGATATCCGTTATCCGTTTGTTAAATATTTATTTAATTTTAATAATATTTATTCATTTTTAAAGCTAATACGTGCAACAAATTCCGACTTCGTGATTTAACACTGGGTGTCGTTCTGATATGCAATAGCCATGGAACTGCGTGACGTTTTATGTTGGTCCTACACTTGAAAGTCAATGCGATAATTTTGTTTTACAAGAGAAGGAAATAGAATAGAATCTGGAAATTGGCAATTTCTAGTGATTCCCAAAATCGAGAGCTTCGTTCTCTTCCTCTAGCCAAGAGACTTTGTCGATCGCTGTCGCTTGAAGGGTGAGCTGAAGAAGGAGAGAGTCGAAGATAATTGCGAAGCCGATCAAGAGTCGACTGCCATGAACTGACTGAAGGAGAGGAGATCCGAGTTGACTTTTGGTCAGCAGCTTCCGAATTCACTATTCGAGCTTCTCTAGTAAGCCGATGACTGATATGGATGCGTAGAATCAGAAGCTAAGCTTCACGGAGAAGAGGAAGATCGGGAGATGGAGACCGAGGTTGTTTCGAAGCCGCACAGGCTGAAGTTTGACGTCTTCCTCAGTTTCCGAGGCGAGGACACGCGCGGCAACATCACGAAGCGTCTCTATAAGGCTCTCAACGAGAAGGAAAAGATCCGAGTCTTTTTCGACAACGACGGTATGAAAAAAGGGGAAGAGGTCGATCCAAGTCTCGTCGCAGGCATGGAGGACTCGGCGGCCTCCGTCATCATCTTATCCCCTAAGTATGCTGATTCTCACTGGTGCTTAGATGAATTAGCTATGCTCTGCGACCTGAAGAAATCTCTGAATCGTCTGATGATACCCATCTTGTAACATGCTCTGTTTCTTTTCATGTAAGAACTAGCTAGAGCATTTCCAAAAAGTCTAGAACCCTCTCCTTGAACCTGTGACTTTCACTCACATGTTATTACGTCTTCAAAACAATGAAACACTCTCATACTTGTAGAGTCTTGGAAAACCTCTATCTCTCTTACTGGTCTGTTAACTCCGATAATAACCCAATTTTTCTTCAAAACCATCATAAATTTCAAATTTCAAATATTAATGGGTACTTAGGCTCTGATTGCACTACAAGAAAACAATCGATTTCCAACGGTCCATTACGACGGTTTTCAAATCGTCGCAACATTACAACGAGTTTACGACGATCTTACGTCGAATTTAAAAACCGTCGTAAAACCGTCGTATATAAAAATCGTCGTAAACTCGACGTACAATTTACGACGAATTACGACGATTATACATCGATAACGAGAGATTTGCTAGTAAATGTAAAATCGTCGTATATTCGTCGTAATTTTGCGACGAATTTACGACGACTTTGTTTCGATGTAAATATTACGACGATTGTACGTCGAAAAAGGAGTTAGGTGAAAAACATTTAAAACATGTTTATCTAACAATTGTAGATTATCGCAAAGTCGTCGTAAACTCGTCGTAATATGATTGTTGGATGTAAAACCGTCATAAAAAGTCGTCGTAAAACCGTTGTAAAGCCCGAAATTTTCCTATAAATAGATCTTCATTCCTTCATTCAATCACAACACATCATCATTCAAACATAAGAGCATCTTCATCTTGGAGACCCATTGTAGGTCTCTTAAATTTTAGTATAGTGTTGTAAATCCTTATATATTGGGTTGTCCATTGCTGAAAACCCGAATTAAGATTATATTACTTTGAATCAAAGAAGTAATAATATTATAAGGTTAATTTACTTCATTCACGTGGATAGACGTGACACATTAACTAGTAAATTTTTCCGCGCCTTGCGCAGACTAATATAATTGTCAATTTGTTTGTTTAAAATCTAATATTAGTTTTGATTCATTTGTTTTGTTTGTTAGATTTCCTTACATTTTAATATTTTTTTTTGTTTTATTAAATTTAAAAAACGGTTGTTGACAGCTACAAAAGTAGAACAATACGTACGGATTTATATAAGACTATATAGTATATGTTTATACTTGTTTAGAAAAACATTAGTATATGTTTACTTGATGACTCTATGAGTTTTTAGTTAGAATGAAAAAGGAAGAGGTTAGACAATTTTAAAAGTTGTGAGAGAATTAGAGAAAAGTAGTTGATATTTATACTAAATCATAAGAAATAGGAAACCCTATAAACATTAGCGATATTCCATTAGTTATAGATGATTTTTTTTAAACGACATCCATTAGTTATATATATATATATATATATTAACTTTTTCTGTTAGATTTTTTTGTTAAAATTTGGTTTTTTTTTAAAAAAAAAATGACATTCCAACTTTTAAAATAGATTCTTTTTTTTGTTTCTTTGAACATTTTTGTTAATTGTTTTCCAAAATTTTGGTTTTATAAAATTTTTAAAACGGTTTGATTGACTACAAAATTAAGCATTAAACCATAATAATTTAGACCGGTTTATTTTAAGTTTTTTACACATCTATATACTTATTTGTGTAGTGATTTGCTGATGTGTGAGCTCCACAGCAAGTTTCGCAGAGCTTTGCTTACGTGTCAGCTCTAGAATGACTTTCAGCTGCAAAAATACCTTTTAACCCTATTTACTAATTACATGTCATTTTTGGATTGGTTCTTATCGGATGATGTGTTAAAATAACTTAAAACAATCCGCTCTAAATTATTGTGGTTTAATGCTTTATTCCATTGTCAACTAAACTGTTTTTCAAATTTAATAAAACCGATATTTTGTCAAATCTAACAAAAAAATAAAAATTAATAAATTAATAAATGGAATGACAGTATTTGTGATGTGTCTAGATTAAGAGTTTCAGCTTCAAATATTTTAATATAAATATGTACGACTTCTCTCTAATTATCTCACACCTTTCTAAATTGGTAAACCTTTTCTATTTGTCTCTAAGGGCTTACCATGAATTTTTTTCGTTTTGTTTTTTTGTTTTTGGTCAGAAATTTTATTTCCATATATGGTTGAAACTTGTCATACAATGAAATATATAAAGGTAGAAATCACAAAAATTCATAAAAATAACAAGTCTCATTTCGTTAAAATAGCCGTCCGTAGAAAAGGGCTATGCGGCTTGATCTTGATAAGGTTAGTTTTTACTGAGAAAAGACTGGTCTTGAGATCTAAAAAAATCTTTTAACTATAGAAACTTTCTCATAAGGTCTGGTAGCAATATAGCATCATATGTCTTGCCACTGCAAAATTGAGGCAAAAGCTAGTTGGAAGAGAGAACAAAGGAAACTTTTTGTTTTACCATTAGGCTATGGTCTTGAATCAGTTTTCGGTTCCAACGACGGATGCTTCTTTGGTGCCTGCAGTTTTTGCGTTTTTCAATGTATACATATGCATAGGTGGTGGCCAATTCGCTCATCTTGAATGGCCTGAGAACATTGATATCAATGCAGCAATCTGAGGGTCTCTGTAGTATCTGAGAGTCCGTTTGATTCATAGAGCTAAACTAATCAACAGTTGGTTCGGTTTCGTTTGTAAAGTCTTTTCCCGTGTTAGGTTTTCCATTTTTGGTGTTTTTCAGCTACTACACTTTCAATCGACGTCTTTTTGGACGAAGACATAAAGTCAACGGTTTTGTTTGATCAAGTGGTTAACCACTTGGATTATAGTTGTTCAATTTTCTCCATATGAATGATACATGTATTTGAGAGTTAATTAATAAATTTTAATATTAAGTGTTAGACTATTAAAAAAAATTGTTTTTTTAATTAATTGATTCTTAAATAACATTTATGTAAATATTAAACAAGAAATTATGTTATAACTAATTAAAAATTGATATTTTTTAATAAATTTATAATTTTTAATGATATTATATTTAAAAGTAATTGATTTAATATACTAAGACATAACAAATTATGATCATATTTTTTTAAAAAATATATAAAAAATAGAAAATTTGAAATAGTTGAAGAAAAAACTTATTTCAAATTACAGTTTTTAAAAAGAAAATTAATAAATAAATTTTAATATTAAATTTTAAACCACTCGACAAAAAAAAATATTTTTAATTAATTTTTAAATAATATTTATGTAAATATTAAACAATAACTTATGTTATAATTAATTAAAAATATTGATGAATATTTTTTTGATATAAACTCTTAATTTTTTAATAATGTTACATTTCAAATTGATTGATTTATAATAATATACTACCACATAACAAATGATGATTATATTTTTTTAGAAAAATACAAAAATATATAAGTTTAAAATAGTTGAATCCGCACGTTACGTGTCGGTATTCACCTAGTAAATATAAATATCAATA